AGACCTGTACCTTCTTCTTTAAGAGGCTCCTCTGTCCTGCACTCATTACCTGTATCAATGGCACCTGTTTGAACTTATCAGTATAAAAGACACCTGTCCACAACCTCAAACAGTCACACTCCAAACTCCACTATGGTGAAGACCAATGAGATGTCGAAGGACACCAGAAACAAAATTGTAGACCTGCACCAGGCTGAGAAGACTGAATCTGCAATAGGCAAGCAGCTTGGTGTGAACAAATCAACTGTGGGAGCAATAATTAGAAAATGGAAGACATATAAGACCACTGATAATCTCCCTTGATCTAGGGCTCCACACGCAAGATCCACCCGTGGGGTCAAAATGATCACAAGAACGGTGAGCAAAAATCCCAGGACCACATGGGGGGACCTAGTGAATGACCAGCAGAGAGCTGGGACCAACGTAACAAAGGCTACCATCAGTAACACACTACGCCGCCATGGACTCAGATCCTGCAGTGCCAGAAGTGTCCCCCTGCTTAAGCCTGTACATGTCCGGGCCCGTCTGAAGCTTGCTAGAGAGCATTTGGATGATCCAGAAGAGGATTGGAGAATGTCATTTGGTCAGATGAAACCAAAATAGAACTGTTTGGTAGAAACACAACTCGTCGTGTTTGGAGGAGAGAGAATGCTGAGTTGCATCCAAAGAACACACCATACCTACTGTGAGGCATGGGGGTGGCAACATCATGCTTTGTGGCTGTTTCTCTGCAAAGGGACCAGGACGACTGATCCATGTACAGGACAGAATGAATGGGGCCATGTATCGCGAGATTTTGAGTGCAAACCTCCTTCCAACATGACAATGATCCCAAACATACCGCCCGGGCAACGAAGGAGTGGCTTCGTAAGAAGCATTTCAAGGTCCTGGAGTGCCTAGCCAGTCTCCACATCTCCAACCCCATAGAAAAAAATCTTTGGAGGGAGTTGAAAGTCCATGTTGCCCAGCGACAGCCCCAAATCAATCACTGCTCTAGAGGAGATCTGCATGGAGGAATGGGCCAACATACCAGCAACAGTGTGTGCCAACCTTGTGAAGACTTACAGGAAACGTCTGACCTCTGTCATTGCCAACAAAGGATATATAACAAAGTATTTGAGATGAACTTTTGATATTGACCAAATACTTATTTTTCCACCATAATTTGCAAATAAATTCTTTCCAAATCACCAATGTGTTGATTGTCTGGATTTTTTTTTTCTCATTTTGTCTCTCATAGTTGAGGTCTACCTATGATGCCAATTACAGGCCTCTCTCATCTTTTTAAGTGGGAGAACTTGCACAATTGGTGGCTGACTAAATACTTTTTTGCCCCACTGTAGGTTTTAGAGGCAGAAAACAGGAAAAAAAAATTCTGAACTAATGGACTGCAGACATAGTACAGGAGATGACCAGAGACTGCGGACAGTACAGGAGATGACCAGAGACTGCGGACAGCACAGGGATGACCAGAGACTGCGGACAGCACAGGGATGACCAGAGACTGCGGACAGCACAGGGATGACCAGAGACTGCGGACAGTACAGGAGATGACTGCTGACCTTTGGGGAGGGGGGGGGGAGCGGGTACCTGAATTTGACAGGTACCCGCTCTTACTTCCGCGGAGTTGTTCTTTGATCTTACCTGTTCCTCTATCCAGCGGCGTGCTGTCTTCCCGGCTTCTGTAGTGTCGGCGCTCGGCATGGCAGCCGGGTGCCCAGTGCGCATGAGCGAGAAGCACTTGCGCTTTGTGATTGGTCCGGCGGCTTCTGGGATCTGTCATGTGTCCCAGGTACCGCCTTACCATTCACAAAAAGCACCGCTTCTTGCGCATGCGCACTTGGCACCCGGCTGTCAAGCCCAGCGCCCACACTACAGAAGCCGGGAAGACAGCACGCCGCTGGATAGGGGAACAGGTAAGGTCAAAGAACAACTCCGCGGAAGTAAGAGCGGGTACCTGTCAAATTCAGGTACCCGCTCCCCACCTCCCCAAAGGTCAGCAGTCATCTCCATAAGGTCCCGCTGCAGAGCTGAGCGGTCGGCCCGGTATTCTGGCGGTGGAAATACCGAACCGGCCGCTCCATATTCACTCCATAAGACGCACTGACATTTTCCCCCCCTTTTTGGGGGGAAAAAAGTGCATCTTATGGAGCGAAAAATACGGTAGCTATTAAGCATCAATTGGGTACAGTGTTGGTACAGTGTTTGCCTATTGGGCTTGTGGTGTCGGGGGTTAGAAGGGAGAAGTCTGACACAACAGAGAGTCATTCTTCTGCTCTCCTCCTTCTTGGAGATCATAGAGCCAAATTTATGTAAAGGGGTTTAGACCCACTTGGAGGGCGCCATTTAAGTGTTTGCCTCTGCTCTTGGGGTTATTCATGGTTGGAATCCCCTGAAAGCAGCCTGAGCGTAAAAAAGTGAGTTATATTGCTTGCGGTCACAGTATTTGCTGTTCTCTTGATTCACCGAACGTATACCTGTTGTTAATGTTTATTACTTCCCATAGAGGTCTTACAGTAAAGCTGATCTCTGTGTTTTATTATAAAGTGTGTGCTTTTCATTAGTCCTTGCACTTACACTATTGCCAGGGGTGTCAGTTGGGGCTGAGACAGTTCTTGGGGTTGAGAGGCAGAGTGGCGGAATGAACAAACTTAAGCAGCCCCTTCGGGGGTATCGCTACATTTATGTAGGTAATTTGAGCTTGGATAGGGAATAGGGGTGTATAGGATGCCCAATGGACAGAACTTCGAGGACAACTTACTGACTATATACAACTTCTCCTTTAAGGCTTCGACAGCATGGCTGGAGTTCTAGCCAGCACCTCGAAAAGTCTCTTACTAGTCCTGAGCAGAGGACCTGGATCCGCCCGGGGGGTGTAGGTGTGCTAATGCTCAATGAAATGAAAATGATAGAGACAGTATAATATACACATATGTGAACAAACACATAGAAAAAAAAATTAGGGTAACAAACACTTTAACAAAGTTAGAAACAACCATATTAGAGAATTTTACATCTTCTTGACCTCAATAGGAAGTATTATTGATTTACCATTAATATTGACAATGAGTTGATAATGGATTTCCGATCTAGATCACAGAAGCTGCAATTCGTATTATATTTGGATGCCATACAGCGCCTTGAAAAAGTATTCATCCCCCTTGAAATTTTCCATATTTTGTTATGTTACAACCAAAAATGTAAATGTATTTTATTGGGATTTTCTGTGATAGACCAACACAAAGTGGCACATAACTGTGAAGCGGAAAGAAAATGAGAAATGGTTTTCAACATTTTTTACAAATAAATATGTGAAAAGTGTGGCGGCATTTGTATTCAGCCCCCGGAGTCAATACTTTATAGAACCACTGTTCACTGCAATTCCAGCTGCAAGTCTTTTTGGGGATGTCTCTCCCAGCTTTGCACATCTAGAGAAGGACATTTCTGCCCATTCTTCTTTGCAGAATCGCTCAAGCTCTGTCAGATTGGATGGAGAGCGATTTTCAAGTCTTGACACAGATTCACCATTGGATTTAGGTTTGGACTGTGTCTGGGCCATTCTAACACATGATGATGCTTTGATGTAAACCATTCCATTGTAGCTCCGGCTGGATGTTTCAGGTCGTTGTCCTGCTAGAAGGTGAACCTCTCCCCCAGTCTCAAGTCTTTTTCAGACTCTAACAGGTTTTCTTCTAAGATTGCCCTGTATTTGGCTCCATCCATCTTCCTATCAACTCCGACCAGCTTCCCGGTCCCTGCTAAAGAAAAGCATCCCCACAACATGATGCTGCCACCACCATGTTTCACAGTAGAGATGGTGTGTTCAGGGTGATGTGCATTGTTAGTACATAGCGTTTTGCTTCTAGGCCAAAAAGTTAAATTTTGGTCCCATCTAAGCAGAGCACCTTCTTTCAGATGTTTGCTGTGTCCTCCACATAGCTTCATGCAAACGGGACTTCTTATGGCTTTCTTTCAACAATGGCTTTCTTCTTGCCACAAGTTTTGGGCAATTTTTAGACATTTTGCCAGGGCACCTCTGAAGAAACCTCAAGGCAGCCCAGGGTGCCTGGTCACCCTGATTGAGAAAGGCTGATCTAACTATTCCCTACTCTATCCGGAACACAAATATTATACAGATCAATACAAAAATACTCCAGAAGAAGGAAAGTTGTTATATTTGGTAATGTATTCATGGCTTTATAATGATTCTAGGCAGAGCCATTGGTAAGGCAGTACACCCAGCCCTCCTGTACCGGCCCAGGCCCCATCAGTTCATAAAGGGGGGCCCAGGCACCTGCCGAGCAGGCGGACTAGCTGTACTGCCTTATGGCTGACACTTGCGTGACCCTTGCGCATCCTCCTGCAGTGCTGTTGGCTTTTACTCCTCTTTCTCCCAACAGCTGTGCTGCAGGAGGGGTACGCTCTATTATATGCGCCCCCTTCCACATGCTATCAGGCCCCCCTGTGCACCCCCCCCCCCCCCACTCCCCCACAGCGCTGCCAGCTTCCCTTCTCTTATCGGCACCTTCTACAGAGCACATAGGGAGCATGTTTCAGAATGAAGAGCGGGGGAAGGGGATGGTAAATATGTATTTTTTTCCTGAATGAACACGGTGAGCAATCCGTACTGATCACTCCTGTGTCCATTCATCGTTAAAGCCTAGTAAACTATGCTATTCACTTGAATAGGTCTTGTTCAATGGAGGTATCATTTCTGCCATGGCTGCAAAGCATAGCATCGTGGCTGTGATATTTTAGCAAAAATATAATTTGATATTTTCGGAGGACGAAGGGGCCCTGTCAGGAATGATTTACTGGGCCCCATGATAGACAACAGAGACCAGCAACCCTGATTCTAGGTATTTTAGTCTGATAATAGAAAATAAACTTTATGGACCCTTATGGTTGGACAATTTCTTGCTTTTCGAGAATCAGTAGATGGCTCATGCTTGGTAGCTCCAGTCAAGAACCTACCCTAATATGAAAGGTCCGACTCTGCTTTATTTTATCTTGTTTAACAGCATCTCAAATGCCTTCCTTATTTCCTGATTCCTCAGACTATAAATAACTGGATTGAATAATGGAGTCACCACTGTATACACGACATACAAAGCCTTAGAGAGTGCATGGCCTCTATTTGGAACAACATAGATTGCGGTCAGGGTTCCATAGTAGGTGCTCACTGATGTCAGGTGTGAGCTACAAGTGGAGAAGGTTTTCTTCCTTCCAGTACTGGATGGAATCTTGAGAACTGTCAGAAAGATGCACACATAGCTCGCTATAATGAATACAAAAGGAATAACTATTATAGGGATGGACAATACGAAGATTAAGGTTTCCAACATGGATGTATTGGAACACGACAGTTTTAAAAGTGGACCCAGTTCACAAATGAAGTGGTCAATGATGTTTGGCCCACAAAAATCACTACTAAACATCATTAGAGATGTATTGAGAGTAACTAAAAGTCCTACCAGCCAAGAGGCACCTACAAGCTTCAGGCAAACCCCATGTCCCATAGTGGAGGTATAATGTAAAGGATTGCAGATGGCTAGATAACGATCGTAGGACATGGCAGTCAGAATGAAGCTCTCTGCAACTGTAGAAGACCCATACAGGTAGAATTGTGATATGCAACCTGCCATGGACACCTTACCAACTTCATTCAGTATCTGACACAACATTTCAGGAGCGATGTTTGTGATAAACACAATGTCACATATCGAAAGATGAATGAGAAAGATGTACATTGGTGTATGGAGGTGATGATTTGCCAATGTTAAGAAGATAATAAGGAGGTTTCCAAACAGTGTTGCAATGTAAATAATGAAAAAGACCACGAAGACTAAAGTCCTAAACTGGTCAAGTTTCCCAAATCCAAGCAGGACAAATTCGAAAGCTTCTGTTTGGTTTGTCTTGCTCATGTTCATTTGACTTTCCTGACTGCACCATTCGCAGCTACTGTTACAGGAATTAAAAAAAGAAATAAAGTGTAGATAAACCCAAAAAACAAAAATGTAATATACAGTATTGCAGCTTACCAGTCTTTATATGCAGTGGCTGATTTTGGTTTAATTTCTTGGGCTGTTCCCTTTTTTTTACCTGGTGATCCCAGGGAGCCAAAAACCAGCACATCCCTGCTGTCAGTAGAGAGATCTGTGTTGTTTACCAACACAGATCTCTTTCCTGTCACTAGCTTCTGTCAACCGGTGGGTCCCGGCCATGAATCATTGGTTGGGACCCACTGATCAGCAGGCAAAGGAGCCAGTGATATCATGGGTAGGCGGCCATGCACAACCCCTACCCGTAAAAGCAGAATCATGTATATACAGTATACCTGATTCTGCACAGGTGGTGCACACTAGGTTCCAAAAAATAAAACATTACAGGAAAAGATAGGATATATACATTATATCTAGGAAAGGAAAGGGGAGATTTCGTTTCATTTCCTGAAGCATCTCTAGGACAGGAAGTGAGGGAAAATCTCCCCAATGGGACACAGATGGCAAAAAAAACTTTATATGAATTTTAACCTTTCCTTTTTTTAAACTTGAAAATAAAGTTTGGCCTGATGTACACTTTAAAGAAATACACCACAGTGGGTGACACCACTTTCACTGTGACATGTAAGGTATGCATTGGTGTCACCTCTCCAACTGCAGCCTGTTAAATGGATATTGAGGGAAAAGCAATACACTAAAAAGTAATCAGCTCTACACATTCTCATTCTTCAAAAATATATGAAAAGTAAAATCTAGTAACAATATCTTAGAACTAGTTTGGAAAGTTTTATTATAAAAAAAGAAAAATGGTAATGTACTTGCAGTTATGATTGAAATGTTTGTGTCTTCTACTTGTTACTTAAAGCAGATTTAAAGTCAGAACCAGGGGCAGACTGACAACTCATGGGGCCCCTGGGCAATAGGGGATCATGGGGCCCCTGTGTCCTCGCCCAAACTCAAAAAAGCCTATGAAAAAGGTACCAGGGGCATCTCATGGGGCCCCCTACTGACTCCGGGCCCTCGGGCAGTGCCGAGTTTCCAAATGGTCAGTCCGCCCCGGTCAGAACTTATCTTCTCATCTATAAAAGGACTGGGAGATTTTCCTTCACTTCCTTTCTTGAGACACAACAGGAAGTGATAGATGATATATCCAAAAGAAGGGAAATCCTCCCTTAAATATAGTTTAAGGGTAAAGTAAAACTAAACTAATAAAATAAAAAATGTGTTGAGAGGTGGACTGATTTTGCTTTAACAGAAATGCAACTATTTTGTTTACATTCTCTGTGGTGCACACCCCTGGCTCTTTCCTGCCATTTATTAGATGCCCAGAGTGGCATCAGGGCAGGGCAGTGTAACTCTCCTACTCATGTGTTACATCATCACTGGCCACCTACTGGTCAAAGTGGAGTGATGCGGAATCCTGAACAAATGGTATGAACTGAATAACCCTTTTTGGTTGTTACTCTTGTAAAATCTTTAGAAATTTCCTTTAAAAAAGCTATGCTGGCCATTCATTGTGGAAAGAGCTCACCTTCACCCAGCAGACTTTAGTTTCTGTTTATCGGGACATAAACATTAGCAGCATTTAATGCTCTGCAAAATAAATTGTTCTTTACACAGAGAAGTAGAAATGTAGCATTAGATTAAAACATATGCTACTGAGATCCTAGAAAGAAAATCTCATGAAATTACCAATGTTCTGTTGTTTTTGTGGGTTGTTGGATTTGTGTTTTGCCGTCACACTGCCAACTGAATGGCCTTGATGATTATTTTTATTCTATTTTCTACCTGGGGAATTTCTTAGGAATAATCATTTGTTACAGTTACAAGTCTATGGAGGTTTAATTAAATTCTATCCCAATGCGGTTACAGTGTTACTAAACCCCGGACCCTGCATTCACTATATCTGGTCTTCCTCAGGACCCTGCATTCACTATATCTGGTCTTCCTCAGGACCCTGCATTCACTATATCTGGTCACCCACAGTACACGGAAATGCAATTATTTTAGTAAATATAAACTGCTAAATACCTTTTCTCATCAGCAGTTAGAGCAGTCTTATGACTACTATCGGTGTTCAGCAGAGCACATGTTAAAGCTTATAGGAGGAGTTTTCTTTCTGCTCTAGGAGGATGCAGAACCCCCGACCCTCTGTCTGGACAGTTCTGATTGGCCCTGTGCTGATCACATGTACTCTCCCAAGAAAAAAAAAAAAAAAACCTCTCTACCAATACACACCAAACTAAGCATGTGCGGAGTGACTCCACACAATATGTCTTATCAGGAGATAACAGGGGGAGACTGGAATAAGGGAAGACAGGATCAAACAGCCTTTTTACACAATGCAGAGGATTAACCCCTTAGGTTCCACAGTGAGTATAACAAGCATGCTTTACTGCATATACAGACTGATTGTACTGCTCTGCGTTTAGTTTAGGGGCAATTTGGGGCACAACAAATGCCGACAGCAAATACCACCAAATGGATTAAAGCCCTGTACACATGATGAGAATATCGAACACATGATCGTCCGTTTTTTCTTTTTGCATGCTAGTCTCGTATCGTTAATGAAAAGGTTACTAAACTTCCGAAAATTTTCGTAGGACAGAAAGAAAATTCAGAAGTGATGTCATGTATTGTATTGTATTTGTATTGTATTTTCAGATGAAAATTGTACTGATTAAACAAAATTTGTACGATCTGGTGTGGTACTAGAAAAATATTTGTGGTTGTTCCTTCGAATAATTTTGGACGAAGGCTGTGTACTAACAATCCAATTATCGTATGATCGCTTTGACAGTAGTATATATTGTATGATTTTCTGATCGTGTGTACTAGGCTTAAAGCGGAGTTCCACTCACCCTGTCAAAAAATAAAAGTCAGCAGCTACAAAAACTGTAGTTGCTGACTGTTAAAAAACAGCCACTTACCTGTCCCTCGGTCCCGTGGTGTGTCCCCCGCAGCCTGTTTCACCGGCCGTCCTGTATTCCAGGAGGCCAACCTCTTCAGTGTGGGCACCCGGCTGTGATAACTTGCGGCTTCACATCCGGGTACCCACTGTGCATGCGCGAGTAGCTCTACGCTTCTTGAATGATCCTGTAGTCTTTGGAGACCTGTCACGTGTCCCAAAAGACTACAGGGAGGGAGGGAGGACACCTTCCGCTTCAGATCACCTAGACCAGGGGTAGGCAACATGTGGCTCTCTAGCTGTTGTGGAACTACATTTCCCATAAGGCATTGCAAAGATTACAAAACTGACAGTTACAGCTATGACTTGCAGAGGCATGATGGAACTTGTAGTCCTGCGGCTCTAAGGCTGCCTACCCCTGGCCTAGGGGCAATCGGACCACAAGTGGGAGCGGGTACCTGTCAAATTCGGGTAGTGGGGGAGCAGTCCTTTAAGCAGAACTTCCCCTTTTGGGTGGAGCTCAGCTTTAAGGCATCCTACTTCCAACACCATGGATCATTGTGCGGTGTTGATAGAGACTGTTAATAGTAGGTTACATTTATCTGTTTGGTCATTTTTGTAATATATAGAAAAAGGAACTTCGGTGCAGTAGGTATCTCCTTATAATTGTGCAGCTAGAATGTAATGTGTTTCCACATATGACAAAATAAATCTCCTAGATTGTAAGCTCCAAGGATCAGGGCCCTCCTATCCCTCTTGTATTGTTGCTGTATTGTATCCTGTTATATTGTACAGCGCTGAGCAAACTGTTGGTGCTATATAAATCCTGTATAATAATAATAATAAAAAAATGCAGCGCAACAAATAAACAACACAGTGATACTTCTATGTCAAATGTGAACCTTGAACCTGATGACGTCAAGCCGCAAACTGGAAGTCTACGTGCCGCCATTTTGGAAGTGGGATTACAGCATCTAAACAATCTGGAGCACTATATAGGGAGGTTTTTTACACTGTGGTGTCCCAGGAGGACACATTTTAATGTGAGTGGATATATATACTTTTAATAAAAGCTATTTTGGTTGTACATACTACACTATATTCAATGTTTTTTTACATGATTACAGAGTGGATTGGATCTATACAAAGTGTTGGCAAAGAGTGGGAAGACTTTGTACCATATATACCTGCCCGGGTTAAAAGGGAAAAGTGCAGTTTGATCTGTCATTATGGGTCAAACTTTGAGGTGAGTGCATAGGAGTGCTGGAGGTGGAGGAGCACAAAGGGGTGATACGGAAGCACCATACACTTGAATATAGCGGTTTGATTACACCTGTTTACACAAAGGCATCGTGGAATACATGGGATTGTTCATCACGATTTATGTTGTATAAAGTCTCGCGATTTATGTTATATAAAGTATGACAAGCACTGTGGATATTACAGAATATATGTGCGTCTATATATATCTATTGGAATATATGACCATGAAGTATGTTTGATGATTAAGTATTCACAAGCACTGTAGAGTGTTGTCTCCGTCAATGTTTATTAGTGCACATTCAGCAGGTTCAATGTTCACATTTGATATTTGTTAGGGACCAGCCGGTGGTAGCCTCTAGCGTTCCACAGACCAGAATTCCCCAGGGCGCAGAATCTAAGTTCCGACCTGCTTGTTCACCAGAGCCCCTGATGGTGGGGATGGACTTGGAGCAAGCCGAGACCAGGTCGCCACCCCTGGGTGCAACCAGCTGTGGTAGAGGCACCTGTCGGTGGTACGCAGCAGGTGAGAGTCTGATGTGAGGAGGTAGAGTAAGCGAGGTCAGACAGGCCGAGTCAGTAACAGCGGAGCAGGTCGGTACAAAACAGCAGGCAGAAGAATAAACGGGTCACGGTCCAGGTTTGGCAACAAGAGATCAAAAGTGCAAAGCAGGCAGGAGAATGGTTAGGCAAGCCAGGGATCAGAGCAGGAGAAGTCAGCAGATCAGGATCAGGCAGGGTCAGCAGCAAAGTAAACTCACAGGAACACAGGAAAGACCATATGGCAC